CAAACACACACACACACACACACACACACACACACACACACACACACACACACACACACACACACACACACACACACACACACACTTCTGATTTTCTTTGTGTGTGTCTGTGACAAGGTGATGATTCACAGCTTCAGTCCTTATCATGCTCACATGTATCCACCCTGCTCCCTCTGTCTTCACTGACTGCCCGAATCACAGCAGAAGGGTGGAAAAGCAGACTTGCTCTACATGACTCTTATCACGTAGTGTTGTACCACTTCAGGAAATCGTTCACATATGGAGCAAATCAAACTCTTCCTGAAGTTAGTGCTGAGTCACTACGCACTTACAGTATATTAAAATCCAGTTGAGCTTCATATTTACTGTTTATGTGAAACTGAAGAATAAATTAGTTTGGGGGCTAAGCACTCAAACTGAAACAGCAAGCGAGCTAACTATCCTAACTACCAAAAATATATGTACCTAAGTGATCAAACAACGAATAAGGGTGATTTTCTAAAGAACCAAACTAAACATGGTAAAACAGAAGAAATTGAATTCTAACCTTAAAATTAACAAACTGGTGTTTTAAGTCTTTGTAAGTGACAATCCAGCATTTCAACATGTAAACTTTAATCCCAAATCACACTATTTTATTTCTATACACAGATAACATTATTATATGCAAATATACAGTTTGGTCATTAAATGTTGCTTGTTCAACAGATCTGTGTTACAAAAAAAAAAGTTTAAAATAAACCTGACTGCTGCATATTTGGCTGTTTGAAAAGAGACAGCACATAGCTGGCCTTTAGAAATGTGGTATTTATGGATGTTGGTGTGTAATATTTGTTTTATAAACTATGAATATAGACTGTTGACATGAGGAAATAGTCACAATCATTTTGAATTCTCTACAAATTTCTTTTGGCCTTGAAGTCTATTTGAAGAAGCTGATTGTAAGGTGCTCAGGGGGGATTTTGGCTGAAGGAAGCCGTGTTGTTTCAACAAAATGCAAAAGCAAGCTGACAAAAAGGGTTAACTCGCTTTCTGTTTGCAGCTCGTCAGTAGCACAGACAATAAATAAAACCGGGGAAGCACATTCCTGACGCATCAATCTGCTGATATGCAGATTTGAAGCTTTATACCTGTTAATCTTTTAAAGCACATGAAGCCTTTCACGAGGAAATAAAAGACCCGTCAAGCATTTCTGTGACTTTTATGTTTCGACCCACTTTCCTGGGGAGATTAAAGTGAGTTTCTTCCCTGATCCAATCCGCCCTTTGATAGTAAATAAAACTGCGATGACGCAACATGATGAAATGTTGCCAGGCAAACAGGAAGCTGTAGAGGAAATTTACCTTTCTGCAGCAACACAACTTTATAATTGCACTACCAGGTGGTTTTATCATCAAACTGATAATTGAATTGTCAATGTCAGAAACAGAAGCTGGGTTAGTCATCCATCATTAGAACTCGAGTCTATTTTAGTTGGAAAAAGAAATGCTAAACTTAGAATAAAAAAACATCTCACTCTAGCACAGATTGGTAAAGCACCATGAAGGTGATTTGGCACCGAACTGAAGGTGAAGCGTGGAGTTTGGTTTCAGTATCTGCAAACAACTTGCTCCCTATCTTTGTCCGCCAGCCAGGAAATAAGCTCCTTAACAGCTGCAGCCCAGGCTCAGCAAATAAGCTGTGATTTGAAAATGGGAGCAGTCAATGAACGTTTTTGGGTTTAACCACATTTAAGCACCCAGTTTGTACTACAAGGTTTTGCTTACTGTGTCTTTCCCAGTGCTAGAAACCAGCTGAAGGCGTTGCTGAGGAAACATCTCTTCCTTCTTCAATGATGAGCTTTTAGAGCCCACCACTGACGTCAGATCAGCCCACACACAGTGATTGTGTGTGTGTGCATTTGTTAAATATCTCATGAACCACAGGGTAAATTTTAATAACACTCCCAGAAAGTAACCAGGTGAAGAGCAGCTACAAGAGAAAGTCAACCCCATCCAAGATGGCTACCACAGCAAAAACAAAAATGTCCCCCACAGAATAGTTCCTCCTAATAAACAACGTCAGTTGATTATTTTCTTAGCTTGCTATGTCTTGTTTTGTTCTGTTTTATTTTTATTTTTGACTATTTTGACTGCATTCATGAAATCATCTGTCAGAGTTTGGGCCTTGTTTAAGAATTCTGAGTTAAGATGCGTAGACGGTCTATAGTTTGTACATTTAGAATCACTTCACAGGATGTCTTCTCCCCATTTAAATGTGTTAATCTGGACTGTTGTTGCTGAAATATTGCTCAAAACTAAATTAGAAATCCAATCCAGAAAGTTATATACAGGTGCTGGTCATAAAATTAGAATATCATGAAAAAGTAGATTTATTTCAGTAATTCCATTTAAAAAGTGAAACTTGTATATTATATTCATACATTACATACAAACTCATATATTTCAACTGTTTATTTCATTTAATTTTGATGATTACAAATGACAACAAATGTAAATCTCAAATTCAGCATATCAGAAAATTAGAATCTTGTTTTCAAAATGGATGGCACCTGGTACCACACTCTAATCAGCTAATTAACTCAAACCACCTGCAAAGGCCTTAAAATGGTCTTTCAGTCTAGTTCTATAGGCTACACAATCATGGGGAAGACTGCTGACTTGACAGTTGTCCAAAAGATGACCATCGACACCTTGCACAAGGAGGGCAAGACACAAAAGGTCATCGCTAAAGAGGCTGGCTGTTCACAGAGCTCTGTGTCCAAGCACATTAATAGAGAGGCGAAGGGAAGGAAAAGATGTGGTCGAAAAAAATGTACAAGCAAGAGAGATAACCGCACCCTGGAGAGGATTGTGAAACAAAACCCATTCAAAAATGTGGGGGAGATTCACAAAGAGTGGACTGCAGCTGGAGTGAGTGCTTCAAGAACCACCACACACAGACGTATGAAAGACATGGGTTTCTGCTGTCGCATTCCTTGTGTCAAGCCACTCTTGAACCACAGACAGCGTCAGAAGCATCTTGCCTGGGTTACAGAGAAACAGGACTGGACTGCTGGTGAGTGGTCTAAAGTCATGTTCTCTGATGAAAGTAAATTTTGCATTTCCTTTGGAAATCAAGGTCCCAGAGTCTGGAGGAAAAGAAGAGAGGCACTTCATCCACGTTGCTTGAAGTCCAGTGTAAAGTTTCCACAGTCAGTGATGGTTTGGGGTGCCATGTCATCTGCTGGTGTTGGTCCATTGTGTTTTCTGAGGTCCAGGGTCAACGCAGCCACATACCAGGAAGTTTTAGAGCACTTCATGCTTCCTGCTGCTGACCAACTTTTTGGAGATGCAGATTTCTTTTTCCAACAGGACTTGGCACCTGCACACAGTGCCAAAGCTACCAGTACCTGGTTGAAGGACCATGGTATCCCTGTTCTTAATTGGCCAGCAAACTCTCCTGACRTTAACCCCATAGAAAATCTATGGGGTATTGTGAAGAAGAAGATGCAATACACCAGACCCAACAATTCAGAAGAGCTAAAAGCCACTATTAGAGCAACCTGGGCTACCATTACACCTGAGCAGTGCCACAGACTGATCGACTCCATGCCACGCCGCATTGCTGCAGTAATACAGGCCAAAGGAGCCCCAACTAAATACTGAGTGCTGTACATGCTCATACTTTTCATGTTCATACTTTTCAGTTGGCCAACATTTCTATAAATCCTTTGTTTTTATTGGTCTTCAGTAATATTCTAATTTTCTGATATGCTGAATTTGAGATTTTCATTTGTAATCATCAAAATTAAACAAAATAAACATTTGAAATATATGAGTTTGTATGTAATGTATGAATATAATATACAAGTTTCACTTTTTAAATGGAATTACTGAAATAAATCTACTTTTTCATGATATTCTAATTTTATGACCAGCACCTGTACATGTCTGACAATTAAAACAAAACAAAAAAAAAAAACTTTGGTGGGTGCAGCAGGACGTGTTTCTCTGCTTCAATTATTAGACCAGTTGTAAACAACAAGCTGATAAAATGTTAATGTCCATCAGAAAATATGCCAAAAATTTTAACATTCGCATAGACATTGATTCAGAAATTGAATATCTACCCCACTGATATTAATTCTCAGGCATCACTACTGAATGAGACTCTTCTTTCTCATTGTGAGATGATTTTCATTTAAGCGTTAAAGAGTTAAAGAAATGCTATTCCTTTAACGTCATTATTCTTTTTTTTTTACATCTTTTATCTGCAGTCATTTTTGATTCGTCTGCAGCTTCAGGCTGTGTGGCTTTCTGAGTGAAAGTCGTAAAACATGTTCCTACTCCAACGTGACAAGTTTCAAGCAGTTTTGCACAAAACCATTATTATCAGTTCACATGTATGCTACATGAAACATTTAAAATGAGTGAATTTGTACATTTATAACAGTTTGAGTCCACGTTACTGACCCTTAAAAGTAGAAGCCTATTGTACTCGTCTCCGATCGTCCGGAGTTGACGTCCAAATGTCTCTGCCTGCATGTCCCTCGATGCGTTCTGCACCCGCGTGCTAGAGGGGTTGCTCCCTGCAACGGAAAGTAAAAAAAACACATTTGTCAAAACAATCAAAAATGTGTGTGTGGTGCAGTGGATATGTTCCAAAATGTTTCACTGGTTAGACATTAGGTTGATTTGTCTACAATGTATGATCCACTAAGGGAAATATTACAATAAAAAAGATCAAAGAGGATTTGTGGTTGAGAGACAACTTGACTTTTCACACATTAAATAAGATGTTGCGTTAACAGAAACTACAAGGGAGATAAACTCGGGATAATTTACAAAACTTTGTACAGAGGTTCTTGATTTAGTCATTAAATCTATGTCAAATCTAGGCTGAATCTAGGAAGTTTTGCTAAAATTGGTCATCATTTTTATACAGTTAAAAACAACAAAACAAAACTGTGAATCCAGCCAGAAAACTGAGCCTCATTCACCTTTTTCTTTTGAGTCTTTGTACAAACAGTGAGGCCATGTAACAATGGGAAAACCCCATTATTTTAATTATGTTTTCATTAACTTCCTTGTATTTTGCACGTTCAGTTTTCTAATGCAAAATCATATAAAAAAACAACAACAAAGATGCAGTCGGTCAAATAAAAACACGTCCTGTTTCTGTGACAAATAAATGTGCTTAGTTTATATTTTACAGACAAAATGAATTATTGCATAAATGAAAGGATTATTTTAGAGTTACGACTGTGTTTGTGTCTCACTGGTATCACAATACGTTCTTCCAGCTGGCCGAGTGTTATGTGTGAATGTGTGGGTTTTTTTGTGGTTAATCTGTTATAATTTCAGTTGAACTCCCGTATGACTATGAAAGGTTCTGACCTCTTACTGATCTTCACTTATGACTCACTCACTGAAACCCAGATTTAATATTTCTATCATCCTCCAATACCGAAAAGACAAATTCAGCAAATCGTCGGTATCAGACTGACGCCTGCTCAGGTGACATGGTCAAACTGAAACAATCAACTGCCCTTTTTTTTTTTGATATAGCAGAAGACGTTTCCTGTGAATAATTTGTGTGGTTTCTGTCACAAAGCAACCACATTACACAAACAATTTTTATTCAACAAACTTATTTTCAAAGTATCTGCTCCTACTTTTCTGATGTCTAATGATGCTGCGAGATTTTTTTTAAAAAGGGCAAACTTGCTAAAAAGCTTCAATTCTTCAAGACGGAATATAAAACAAAATATTACTCCACCTGAGGTTGGGCAGCTTTGTGCAACTGATCAATGTGGGTGTTTGTCTCAAGTTTTTACAATAAAAGCCTTAGACAGAAAGGTGCTTCTGTGAAATGATGAGGTTTTGTTATAATTAGGAAAACTACAAGTGCAATGTGAAACTCAAGAAAGATAGCTGTGATTTCCTTCCAACTTACAGGAAGAGGAAGTGCTGCTACGCTGACCATCAACAGCAGATAAACTGATCCTCCTCCAGGTGCTCTACTTGGAAAACTGCTGTTATCTGCTCAACAAGATGAAGCAGATAATCCAGGATGCAAAGTCTGCATCTTATAAAAGACCTGCAGACCTTAACAGAGACACTTTATGAAAGACCCGTACACACTCTTGATAGCTATCTTGTGTGTCCGGCTACACAGAAGGAGAGTAGAAGACAACACAAAGCAATCAGTGAAGCCAAACACTTCTATTGTGTGAAAAAGGCCCAACAATTCATGCAGAGATTATAAGCTGCTGATGCATCTGAAAGTTTTATTTCAAACTACTATCAATGGAAGAAAATACAGATATATTAGTGGTTTTGGCTAGGGGGAAGACACAGACTGTTTAATTCAAATAAAACACTTATTTTTAAATAGTGTATTTTTGCATGTTTTGAAAACCTGAAGCACACACACACACACACAAAAGAAAAAAATGGCACATCAATATCGCTTGATATAAGTTGTTTTTTGCAATATTTGAGCCTTCAGGCTCAGTTTTGTTTGCTACCAAGTAAGAGAATGAACAACTTTAGCTGACAGCATCACAGTTAAAAGCTTTAATCATCTTTTTTTTTCTTTTCTTTTCCTTTGTAGTCTGCATGAATGTAAACAAGTACACTGGAGAACTATTTTCGGCTTTTATTGCTGGAGGTGACAGTCGTGCTTTCTTCTGGTTTTGGTTACCCTGGTTTTCAGCTAAACAGTAAATACAAAAATGGAAAACAGGATCAAAAGTTGTGAGGGCTGATAAAAATCTTAATACTTTGGTGGCCCTTTTTAGGTTCTGAATTCTCAAAGGTGTGCCAGTTTCTGTTTGGAAACTGACTTGTTAAGATGATAATTACAATTTTATTTTATTGCATCTTTAGATCATTAAGCTGCCATACAAATATGTAAATGACTCGGTTGAGTAATACTGTAGTATATATTTTGGGACTATGTAGAAAAATGTAATAAAAAACTCATTAGTGCTGCCCAGTTAACTCCATGTGTTTATTTGCATAAAGACTAGGAAGTGACACCTGACCACAAGTTGTCATTCGGAACAAGATACAATGAACGTTTTGTCCTGTGACATGTTTTGGCAACAATGCTCTGCAATAAAACGACACTCGCAGCCTGTAGGGACAGTTATGTCACAAAAATAATCTCAATCAGACATCATATAGACTTTGTATTGGTCCTGGCTCGGTGGCTGTCTGGGTAAAGTCCACCCAGTGTCCACTCAGAGTGATTCAGGTGTTGTTGGCTTCACAAGCAGCACTTCTAGGTAATGTCCTGAATATTTTAAACATTTGACCAAAGGCTTAAGATAACAAGGTGGTAAGAAAGAAATGGACTTAAATTACTTCCTGGTACACATCAGCTGACTTCTTTTTTTTTTCCTATTTTTATCTCCCCGAGCAGCTGAGCTGATTTCATCTGATAATCTTTTGTCTGCTCAGACTTTCTTTTATTTTTCCAACCAAAATGTTTCTATACAGCCTGTAATTGCTAAGAGTTTGCTGATCATTTGATCACAGTCAGACTGCCAACATGAAAACAAAGCAAAAGGCAAAAAGTGTGTGTGCGTGGGGGGGGGGGGGCTGATCCCATCACCCCATGACCTTGTTGAACAACGTGCCATGACCTGATGGGTGTATCTCAATGCCCTGCTTGCTTCCTGGACCTCTCTCTCTCTCTCTCTCTCTCTCTCTCTCTCTCTCTCTCTCTCTCTCTCACTCACTCTCTCTCTCTCGCTCTCTCTCTAAGCCATCTGAGCAACAAGGTGCCATTAATCTTGAAGCCCATGGGTGGAGCGGCTGAAGAGACAGCGAGCAGCAGTGACGTGTGTGGGCAAAGCTGTTTTGCAGAGTCAAACAGGAAGTTTTGCAGCTTCAAATGACCACCAGAACTGGTTGGCTGTAACTCTGATAAGTTGTGTGGAAAGTGAGTGTGAGATCACACGTGAAGCATCTGCACTCATTTTGATTCTTACCAATCAGTGATTTCACATGTTATGACATTACAACCCATTCTCACTCCCAAGTCGCACTGACACTTTTCAAAGGTTCCCTCTGCGTCCAATTTTGACGCGTCGGGTAGGCCCCTTGCATTATTTTTTGACGAGATGGGGCGGAATCTGTTGTCATAATTTCAGAAAGTGTAGAAAATGCACAAAAATTAACCATCCCAAAACCTAAAATGACCTTTATTCACTTTAGACATCCTGTCCCTGACCCTAGTACCTAAAATTAACCATTAACCTTGATACCTAAAACTAACCATTTTTAGAAAATGTAGGAAATTCACGTCAACTACGTGTTCCAAAGCTTAAAATTACCTAAAATCCACCGTAGACATCCTATCCCTGACCCCAGTACCTAAACTTAACCACAGAGCCGGCTCTTGGCATAGGCGAACTAGGCGGTCACCTAGAGCTCCATCTGCTGGAGGGGACACCGAACTGCAGAAGGAAAAAAGTAATTATTTGCAATCCCTGGTTGTAAGTCTGCTCAGCGCCCCTTTCAATTAGCTTTGTCTTAAAAAAAAATATAATGAGGTATTACAGGAAAAATAAACTACTCTACTCATAAAACATCCCCCCACCCCCCAATGCAGCAATTGCCCCCACCCTCTCTCTCTCATTTAATTGACGTTGCACTGACTCATCCTGCTCAGACACTCTGACGGGGGGAGGGGCAAGTAGTGCCTCTCAGGTATCGGTTTGTATTGACAATTTCAATAACAACAAGTCTGTATTTTATTGTACATGTCAACCTCTTTAGATGTTTACTTGTATAAAAAGCTTCAAAAATCCGTAAATTTTGCAAAAAAATCCATACAACTCGCTCCCTCGCTGGGGACATGAAAGCGCCTGCTGCAAAGCAGGAGGAAAGGAGAGCGGAAAAAGGTTCAAAACTTATTTCTACCGGCAGAACAGGTTGGAAGATGGCTGTTTAATGTTATTTATTTATTTTTTAATTCATCCTACAGGCTCTGACATGTTGAGGTTTTGAAAAAAATATGTAAGACTTGAAAAAATCCATGAGATTGCCCTATACGTCTGTATACCTGCAAAATGACGTAAAATTCTTATAATTTACAGACAATCCGTACAAGTTGACATGTATGTTGTTATTTATTTGCTTTCTGGGAAATCCGAGTTTACATAGTACTTTACACTCTCAAACTTGTTTTTAGGGGTTCAAATTGGGGTGGGTGGGACATAGTTCGGG